CTGAATTGACAAAAATCAAAAATCCAAGTCAATTTCTCTTCCGGGAGTCATAAGGAATAATGAAAAAATTTTGTATGATTTTTAAGTTTGTTACTTTTCAAATGCGAGATCAAATACTGAACCAGTCTGAAAATTGATGTCAATTTTTTTGCATTAAGCGACAACTTTAATTATCCTGTTGCCAATTGTCAAGATAAAAATTTGGCAATACTCAGAATCTCTTGTAGGTGATCTGAACTGGAATTATTGACGTCGAACTTAATTTTTAATTTGTAAATTAAGCTCCAACTTCTCTTGTCCGCATTTACCCCCTGTCCGGATTTACTCCAACTGACCTTAAATATAAATTTGTAGACGAGCTATACAAAGTCACCCCACCCATTTCACAAAACGACACAATAGAGTGGTACTTAACGGCGGAAATAATAGCACTGTAAAAATTAAATCTAAATCGTTATCGAAAATTCATAAACTAAGATACAAAAATGGTCTTAATGAGACTATACTTTAATTTTAGAAGAAATTACTCAATAAAATTAAAAATGTCGAATTAGTAATAAATTGAAGGGCAACATAGAATAAGGGGACGAACGCGAGGCTTGGAAGGAATATTACCAGTCGGGTAGCAGTGACAAGCCTTGAGCCGCTCGCTGCACGCAGAAAAAAGGTTGGATAATACATCCAATTTTTATTGGTTAGAAGAAAATTAGCTGTTATAGAAGGAGTTTACACCGAGTGGTATAAATAGTGGTATAATATAGTGGTATAATATAGTGGTATAAATAGAGAATATCCGCTAGCGGATATTCCTTCACGAGAATATACTCGCGCCTGCGCAAACACGTGGTCAAGGCAAATAAATATATGCCTGTCCTGATTAGAGATCATATTTGCAAACTAGGAGAGAAAGAAATTGAATTTTTTCGAAATAATGTCAAAAAATGACCCTGTCCCCATACTAAACTTCTACATATTGTCACCTATTGGGCTGAAATTCGGTAAACATTTTCATTTTCAATTGTAGATTTTGAGAAAATTTTAGCGAACCTGATTGGAGATCATATTTACCAACTAGAGAGGAAATAAATTTAATTTTTTCGAAAAAATGTCACAAAATGATGTCCCCATACTGAACTTCTACATACGGTCACTCATTGGGCTAAAATTTTGTACACATTTTCATTTGTAGATTTTGAGAAAATTTTAGTTAACTTGATTGGAGGTTATATTTACGAACTAAAAAGGAATGCAATTGAATTTTTTCGAAAAAATGTCAAAAAGTGACCCTGTCCCCATACTGAACTTCTACATATCGAGACCTAGTGAGCTGAAATTCAGTACACATACTCATTTTTAAGTGTAGATTATGGGAAAAATATAACGAACCTGATTGGATGTCATATTTGCAAAGTAGAAAGGAATAAAATCAATTTTTTTTCTAAACAAATTTAAAAAATAAATATTTCCTACTCTTAACTTCTACATTTTGGGACATGGTGAGCTAAAATTTAGTACACATTTGTAGTTTTACCAATAGAGCACAGAAAAATTATAGCGGATCTGATTAGAGGTCATGCTGTCGAACCAGAAATGAAAGAAACTTACTTTAAAAAGAAAATTTCCAAAAATCACCCTGTCCCCCTTAAGTTCTACATGTCGGGACCTATTGGGCTGAATTTCGGTACGCACATATGTTGTTTTACGTTTAGGTTTCAGAATAGTCATACTACTTACATTATAGAATAATACTATATTTTTCTTGTAATCATGATGTGAGAATATGTATATGAATTTTATCTCAATAGGTTTATATATATATGGGCAATTGCACGTCAGATTTCAGTTCAGATTTTTAATTTGTCCAAAACAATTTTCTTTTCATTCTTTACACCAAAAAAAATGCCTAGGACCCGTATACCAGGAATTGACTAGGTTTCCTAGTTACGAGAGGAGCCAACTATAGAATCCTCGTCAAAGTAATAAGATTCAAGCATAGTTAAAGTGACCAGGAAAATTAGTCGATGTAATCAGGAAAAAATAGTCAAATTGACTAGGAGAATAATATTAGATTTACACTGTGTATCATAATTATTTGAAATTGCTAATCAAATTCTTATTATCAAATAAAAGAGGAAAACTAATTAAAAGAAAAAAGAAAAAAATTAATTATTATATTTGAACATATTTATATTTGATTTTGTATTTATATTCCTTGGAATTAATTTAAACTTATGAAATAAATATTTGACGCAGGGGGGACGCGAACACCTGAACCTAACGAATACGCACTTTGAAACCCGGAACGATAACAACTACACTAAACACGACTTGGTGGTGTATTCCACGTCAGTTCAACACAAAAAATTTTATTAGGTTTTGGGATTTGGTTGAAATTGGGTAGATTATATCCTCTGGTGGTAGTAAATAAAATCCCCAAGCGATTTTAGAAAATTTCAAAAATTGACGGACATATTGGATTTTTAATTTTTTTGTACCTTTTTTTTGAAAAATATATATCTCTGCTTCTTCTTAACGGATTTTAGTTTATGACCTCTTAAATTGTTCGTATTGAAATATACTTTTATTTAAAAAATTAAAATTAAAAAAATTATTTAAATTTTTTGTTTAAAAAATTAATTTAATTTTTTGAAAAGCCATAGAAAAAATATGCTACCTTCAATTTTGATCATTTTTTTACCATTTGTAGCCATAAATGTGTTGAACTTGTCCTGAAATTTTCATCGTGGGACAGCCAGTAGTTTTTGAGAAAAAAAATAAAACGTAAATCCTCGCATAGCGCTGTAGCGCTCAGTTTTAATGCCGCACGATTGTAAATAGAATTTTAATGAAAGTACGAGTTTTTATTAACCCTAGAACTAAAATATGATTTTTTTTATGGACTAACGAAAAACTGGGGTGGTTTGGTACCCCAGATTTGAAACAATTGTAAAAGGTTACCTTTTTTGTAATTTTTTTAATTTGTCAACAATGTGGCTAATTTGAAAAAATTAAACGGATTTTGAAAGGTAAATAGAGACAATTTTATTTTGTTTAAGGCAACTTGAAAATTTAAATATTATTTAGGTACAATATATACAAATGTTAAATGATTTTAAAATAGAATAAAAATTATTTATTACAAAGGAGGTTTCTATTTTTTACGGGGGAGTTTCCGAGGTCTTACAGTTTATCTTTATTTACCTTTTAAAATCCGTTTAATTTTTTCAAATTAGCCACATTGTTGACAAATTAAAAAAATTACAAAAAAGGTAACCTTTTACAATTGTTTCAAATCTGGGGTACCAAACCACCCCAGTTTTTCGTTAGTCCATAAAAAAATCATATTTTAGTTCTAGGGTTAATAAAAACTCGTACTTTCATTAAAATTCCATTTACAATCGTGCGGCATTAAAACTGAGCGCTACAGCGCTATGCGAGGATTTACGTTTTATTTTTTTTCTCAAAAACTACTGGCTGTCCCACGATGAAAATTTCAGGACAAGTTCAACACATTTATGGCTACAAATGGTAAAAAAATAATCAAAATTGAAGGTAGCATATTTTTTCTATGGCTTTTCAAAAAATTAAATTAATTTTTTAAACAAAAAATTTAAATAATTTTTTTAATTTTAATTTTTTAAATAAAAGTATATTTCAATACGAACAATTTAAGAGGTCATAAACTAAAATCCGTTAAGAAGAAGCAGAGATATATATTTTTCAAAAAAAAGGTACAAAAAAATTAAAAATCCAATATGTCCGCCAATTTTTGAAATTTTTTAAAATCGCTTAGGGATTTTATTTACTACCACCAGAGGATATAATCTACCCAATTTCAACCGAATCCCAAAACCTAATAAAATTTTTTGTGTTGAACTGACGTGGAATACACCTGGTATTTTAATTTTTTAATAGACACTAGATTCTCGAGTCAAAATACAATACTTAATCAGATGATGTTTTATACATTTCGAGTACACAATTTTATACACTTGTCAAAAACTATTTATTTTTAATTATTTATGACATTCAAATGAAAATAAATTTAAATACACAAATTATTGCAAAGGTAAATTTTCAAACACACTGCGCGATTAAAATAGTAAAAATGTTGTCACCACGTGCTTAAAAATTTCGACGATTTATATTGAAACCTAACCAAAAAAGTCTGAAAGAATTGACTCATATAATTAAATAGTTTACTTTCTAAAACATGGACTATCTATATTTCCAGAGGTTTCGAGAAACCAGCAATTTTGATGTATGTAAGAACTCCATTTTATGTACAAAAAATAGACGCGAGTAATGATAAAAAATCGTTTTACGAAATCACGATAAATGACGCGGAAGATATAAAGGTAAACACTGTCAGAACAGAAGCAGACACGTGCGCATTATGGAAATAGGCAAAATTACTAAAATCCTAGTCAATTTGACTAGGATTTGCAGGGTTGTTTTTGCCAGGCTTGAATTTGTTGAATCAACCTAGCGATCCTAACCATAATGATTAGGAATCCTTATTACTTTTACTAGATTAAGATTAACTATAGAGTCATAGTTAATAATACCATCGAGATTTTTTTCGGTGTAGTGAAAAAAAAATTGCTTTGGCCAAATTGTAGGTATTTAATACATTACTATTTATTGTAGGTATATGAAACCCATTTTTTCAAGTTAAATATATCTTTCAAATTATTACATTATTTCTTTATTAATAATTATTTATTTAATTGCACATTAATAAAGTAAGCGGATCGGAAAGTCGGAGCCTAATTTGTTCCGCGTTGGTTGCATTTTGGGATCCGAATCGGTACAGACCAGCAGTACTAGCAGTCCGTACGGGCGCGAATTAAATGTATTTAATTGATTATAAGCTTTAATTAATTTGATAATTACAGTAGAAATTATATTAAGATCAAAGAACAGAACATTTTGCAGAAAATTAATATTTTTGCACTATTTGAAAATTAATGACAAAATTTCTTCAGTTTTTAACTTACCGGTTTGCCAACAAGATTTTGCCACGTAAAGTGCAACTTGGAAATGTGTGCTGGTACTGGAACAACGAAACTAATTGCGTAATCATTTATTTCACCCTCTCGTACGTAAAACAATTCTGCTTCCAGACCTGTTAAAATTTTACAAAATTAGAATACTTTGGATTATCATGTTTGAAATTCTAACCAGATTTGTTTGTAAGTAAACTAACTAAGGGGAGCTTACCATTCTCAATGGTGAAAAATGCGCATGAAGTTGGAAAATTTTTTTTTCATATACGGAAATATTTTACGAATTGCGTTTTTTTATTTAAATAGTACATAGGGGAGACTGGGCGAAAGGTTAAATTTTTCATAAATGATTTTTTTAGACAATATAATCCGCTTAGACGCTAATATTTATATATTAATATTGTAGGGCAACTTATCCTCTACAACTTTCAATAAAAAAGTTTCTGATATTTTCGCATAAAATACATGTTATGTCCTTTTTTGAAAATTTTGTTTTTCTTAACTTTTTGCCCCATGCTGCACGGAAAAAATTTATTCAGGGAACATTCCTGAATTGAATTTTTCTAATATTGTAACCAGTAGAAACTATAAGGTAAATCTAACAATCTCTTGTCATGTTCAGTGAAAATATACGAACCGTACGACAACAACTCTTGTTGAGTTCGGGAAAATTTCGGGGTGCACTCAAGAAAAAAAATTCAGAGATTTGAAGAGAAAAACAGCAGTTCATTCACATACACAAACCAACATACATTCAAACAAGATACACTGTAAATATAACACATCTAATAAACATATGGGTAAGTCTCCGTCAGAAAAAAAGCGATTTGCAAGTGGTCTTCTGATTTCTTTGAAACCTTGGGAAATAATAGTCTTATATGGGTAGTTCTACAAACGAGGGAATATATGATGTCCAAGGTTTTTTTACGTTAATTTTGAAAGAAATAAAATTATTTTCAATGGGAACTGTAGTACTTAATGATTACTATTATGCCACAAAACGTTACCCGGCTTCAAAAAATATTTTTTGCAAAAAATAAGCATTCAAGTGCTAAATTCTCAGTTTCCTGGCATGCCCCAATGTGAAAATGAAAGTTAATAAATTATATAAATATTATTTATAAGCGATTAAATACAAATTTACACTTTGATAATAATTTCAAATAGTTGTACTTTACAAAGATTTATATAATTGTTACATTACTTGATATTTTATTTAAAAAATATTATCTTGAATTTTGTCCATCGAATTAATTCTCAGTTTCCTGGCATCATAAAAAACCTTAAAATTATTAAGAATTTTCAGTCCGATTAATTCACCATTTTTCACAGTGCTTAGTAAATGTTAACTAAATATGATATCGCTTGCATCTTATTTAACTTGCAGTTCAATTAACTAAAATTGTGTACTTTGTGACCGAAATGGCCATTTGGTCAGACAAATTCTCAGTTTCCTGGCACGCATTTTAAAAAAAAATATTTTATGTTTTTATACTTTTGTTGTTCTAGGTGTCGTAGAACCTTATTCCCTGTTGACCAGTATTCTTTATTTTGTTATTAAGCATTATTTTTCAATTTTTTTGACGAGAAATGACCAAATTCTCAGTTTCCTGGCACTTTCTGACAGAATTCACATGTGCTTAAGATGTAAAATTTACAATTTTTATTTTGTTGACTTGCCACTTTTAGGTAACTTTGATAATACTTTTAACTTCAATCTAACCTACTTTTTAAAACCTGAACGTAAAGAAAATATTGTGCCAAAATTTTCTTCATTTTCGTCCTTCGTTTGTAGAACTACCCATATGAGATACATTTTGATTTAATCCTAAAAGGATTTTTTAAAATTTTTAAAATGGCGGCCACTAGGTTATGTTGAAAATAAGTGTTGTGTTTTTTTCAAAATTTAATTGGCTAGAAAATTATCACTCGCAGGTTTTCAGGGTCGCTGATCACGAATGTGGTATTAGTTTTTAAAAATTAAAAATGGCGGATTCAATACGGAGGACGAAAAAAATTAAAAATCACTAGATATGACTTGAAACTTGGCACTCTGAGGTTTTTGGGGTCGCTGATAACAAATATGAAATTTGCTAAATTTTCAAAGTTCAAAATGGCGAAAGAAAAAATCACACAGATTTGCTTGAATCTTGTTTCTCGTGAATTTTCATTAGAATCGTAACCAGCGAAATTCTAAACAAATGTCCAGATGTATGTGTGTGTATATGTCACAAAATAATATGTACAATCCAAACAAATTTATTACTAACATGAATACATTAGAATGTGACACTTTATAAAACTCAATTATTTATTAATTATTCAATTAAAATACTTTAAAAATTCGATTTTTTAAAAAGTTTTTAATGAAATTCTTTATTATTTTCAGTTGAATTTCACAAAATTTATATTAATTCCCGGTTAGTAGACACCCTGTATTATCTTAAATAAATTTTTAGAAATTATTTCGGTGCTGTGTGAGTTTAAACCAGTTTTAATTGATTCATGTTGTCTATTACTGATAAATATTTATTGGTTAAAAATATTTACAATAAACTACAAAAATTTGACAGTTAAACTTAAACAAACACTTAATATCATACAGTACAAAACACGCTTTTTGATCTACTAACGCGACGCCATGACACTTATAACAGCTTAAACGGCTGGGAAGATCGACGCGCGTATAAGATTATATTAGGGTGTCCGTTATTTCCCAAGTTAGCTATTTTCATTTGGGTATCGCCAAAATCGTTTCTTTTTGACCTAAAAACAATTCTAGAAACTAGAAAAAATTTGTACAATGCCGTTTAACCCTGCCTAAATAACAATACTTTTCCCATTTAATTAACATGGGATTTTTGCACTTTTTAGAAAATAATTTTTATTTTGTTTATAATACTCTTTGACTAATCAGCAATGCTTGATTTTGCTTCTATTATGATTCCTTTAGATAGAGAAATTTTCATATTATCGCGAAAAATTTATTAATAATAAATGAATTTTTTTAATGAAACAAATATTCATTTTTATTGATTTTTCTGATTATTTTGCTAAATCTACTTATTAATTAATTTTGTATAACTCAGTCATAAAAACGGCGTTTTTTGGTACTCCGAAGATAAGTAGAAAACTGCCTTTTCTTGAACAGAGCGTCATAAGAGCTCTTATTCGTACGTAGTACAAATAAGACTACCCCACACGGAGAGAAATCTGCTGCTAATATTACTCGAAAGAGCACATTACTTAAATTTCTTAACGTTTCTCTTATATTACATTCTCATCAAAAATGAGAAAGTCTTGGATTTGTGCGATTTTGAGAAATTTCTAATTTTGATAAATCTTCACGTTTCATGACCCCCTGATTCCAAAAAAATGGTTTTTAGCGAAGTGTCTGTCTGTCGATCTGTCTGTCTGTCTGTCTGTCTGTCTGTCTGTCTGTTGGTCTGTAGAAAATTTTGTCTCGACGATAACTCGAATAAATTTTAATGAATCGACTTGCAATTTGGGGTGCTTTCTTAGTCCATTAAAATGAAGCCTGAGTTCGTTGGACAGCTCATTTCGTCAGAAAACGACAAAAATATAAAACTTTCAAATTTTCAAAATTTCGTATTTTTTCGAATTTTCAAAAAAATATTTTTTTCCAATTTTTTCCTTAAAATTTGTACAAAAGCAAACAACTTTTCCTTTAGACACTTTTTTGAATAACAAAAAACAAAAAAGTTATGAATTTTTTTGAAATTTTGAAATTTTCAAAATTTTGGATTTTTTACAATTTAAAAAAAAAAAATTTTTTTTATTTTTCTTCTTAAATTTTGAATAAAAACAAACAATTTTTCCTTTAGATACTTTTTTGTACAACAAAAAACAAAAAAGTTATAAATTTTTTTCCCAAAAAAGTGCAAAAAATTGAGATTTATAGTGAGTGAAGCATTAGCCGAAACATTAAAAAAAGTTAAAAACATGTCAAAACTTTCATTTTTTTCTTTTAGATGCCAAATTTAGGTAAATATACAAAATTAGGAAGAAAAAAGAACTCAAAATATCCGAAAATTTTGCTGTTTTTGAATTTTTTCGTAATATTTGTTTTTTACATTCTCATCAAAAATGAGAAAGTCTTGGATTTGTGCGATTTTGAGCAATGTCTAATTTTGCTAAATCTTTACGTTTCATGACCCCCTGATTCCAAAAAAATGGTTTTTAGAAAAGTGTCTGTCCGTCTGTCTGTCTGTCTGTCTGTCTGTCTGTCTGTTGGTCTGTAGAAAATTTTGTCTCGACGATAACTCGAATAAATTTTAATGAATCGACTTGCAATTTGGGGTGCTTTCTTAGTCCATTAAAATGAAGCCTGAGTTCGTTGGACAGCTCATTTCGTCAAAAAACGACAAAAATATAAAACTTTCAAATTTTCAAAATTTCGTATTTTTTCGAATTTTCAAAAAACACACGGAGCGCGAAGCGCGACGTGCGAAATAATCGCCGGAGCGCGAAGCGCGACGATCAATAATCGTGCGCCCCGAGGCGCGCTGAAACTTGCGAGCGAAGCGAGTCCCCGCGCGAAGCGCGGATGAGAATGTGTCCGCGCTTGCGCGGACAGATTTTTTTTAGCATGGATTCATATACTTATTGTAAAAATACTTTCAATGCAATAAGCATAAGAGACAGTAGCTAATTTTGCACGAAATCTTTATTATAAATACAAAGAGAACGTGCTATAAAAGTATTAGATTCTTCTTATAAGAATCGCTCGAACTTTGACTGATTTTCAGGCGGACTTTATACAACACAATCTTACCTGTGTATACGCACATATAACTCACACACACACATATATTTCTCTCTCTCTATATTTGATATTTCTCTGTCCTGTAAAACATTATATATTATATGTTGCAAAAACTGGTATCTCACTCGTGTCTTAAAATTAGTTGCTTTAAGTGTTTAAACCATTGAGATACAAAATCTGTTTTATATTGAAACATTTAATTTCATCTCGTGTCTCATTTTAAGACATTAAAGGTAACTCAATGCGTATAAGACACGTAAATCGTCTTCTTAGTGTGAGACGGATACTCGAAACACATTTCGTGTCTCAAAATGCAGTGCTAAATGTGTAAGA